AAACTAACACAGTTCATGTACTTAAGAGGATTTAAATTCACTATAACTTGAATTTCACCATTTCACAATTTAGGTTTCTTTGCAATTGGTCCAAATTCCCTACAGTTTTTAATATATTTGAAGTATGTCTAAGCATCGCATCATTAGCTGAGATAAATTCCATTACTTGATATTAATCTAATGAGTGAGATTGGTAAATTCATTGTCACATGTTATATTATTTATGGATCTATCACATCACATAAAAATGTAAGTTTAAAGCAACAGAGAAAATAGATTCTTTTTTTTTTTGAGAAAATACATTCTTAAAGAAGAATAAACTGGAACAGACTCACTAGAAAATGTTAAACTTTTTTGGTGGATTTTGGTTTTGTTAAATTCTTAAACATGTTTGGCCTAACACATTTCCCTTTAATTCCCTTAATATACCCTGTGGATTTCCACAGAAATGTGAACCGTATGTTTCTGATTCATTTATACTTAACTCATCAACATGTTTGGTAAAAATGATTTGAAGCACAAAGCCCCACGAACAGTTTTTTGTGGGCTCTTTTATTTTAGTTAGTAAACAACTGGAATCTGAACCCAGAAATCTTGGGGCTTCATTTAATACTCAAATTCCATAAAGAATGAGAGAGTTCTTAACTGGATAAGGCACACTGTGCCTTTGACGGCGCCTTGCTCCAAATCTTGCAGCTGGGAGGAATTATTCTGATAGTTTACTCTATTTCTTGTCACTTTTATTTTAGAGAATATAAGCCTTTGATGGTGCAAAATGTGTTTGAGTTTGGGACTAGATGCCACCCTGTCAGCTCTGTTGGTTTATGCAGGCCTAGGTAAGTGCTATAAGTGCCCTGGGAGCCTGCTCATCAAGGGAATCCAGAAGCATTCTTTACCTTCTGCTACTCAATTACAAATTAGAAATAAATTTTAAAAATTAGAAATAAAATCCTCTGGCTGTGAGATATAAGTAATTTCTGTAGATGAAACTTAAAAATAGAGGATTAGCATACTGAAATCAGAATAAAAAAAAAAAAGCATATGCAGAAGTAGACACAAGTCCCAAACCCTCTCTCCCTCCCAGCACGCACTTAGGTATGCCTGCTTTCCTTTGCCCTCAAACCATGCTTTGCATGCAGTTTGGCCAATCTCAAAACCAACTATCCAGTTCTGTTTATTTGAGACACCAGTCATGCACTAGAACATTAAATATTAACTCTTCTATTTAGAGGAAATTCTAAAGCATTTCAAGGAAGGGAGGCTTTTCTCTGTGTGTAGTAAATTAAGAGTAGCAAGCAGGGTAATTCTGCAATCTCTCAGGACCCACTCACTACAATTTGTTTATTTATGCAGGGAGAAAATGACACAGAAATTTTTACCTAACTCCATCCAGGATATAGGGGAATAAGTGTAAAATTATATATTTAATGATTACTGCCATCAAGCTAATTATTCCTTGGTATTCTAGTCTAACCCCAGCATCTTTGATAAAGCACTGGGACACATCTCTCCAAGTTTGAGAAAAAATACACAAAAGGTCTATGTCTGAGTACTTCATGAAAAATGGTTAGTCCCAACACTCTGGCTAGTTGCTCCCTGCCATTAGTCTATCACCCCGTGGGGGTTTATTTTTCTCATTAAAATGGCTGACATCTTGTTTTTTGGAAATTAGCAACCACACCTCCTGTTCCTCCTCCTTCTTCACGGGCACTCCTCCAAGAGCTGTCAGATCCCAGTTACCCTGTGGTTTGTATTTATAAAGACCTTAACACTCTGTAAAACATTAGAGATAATCTGCTTACTCTGATGTCTACTTTCTCTCTGCCCACCCCCACTACTCCATTACCCAAACCCACACCTTCCCTGTTACTTTTAAGGACGCCTTGGGAAACAAGATCTTAGGTCTAAAGGCATTCCTTTCCTTCTGTTACTCATTGCAAATTAGAAATAAAAATCCTCTGGCTATGAGATATATGTAATTTCTGTAGAAGAAACTTAAAAACAGAGGATTAGCATACTGAAATCAGAATAATCCGAAGGAAATGCCTAAGGAGAAAAACAGCTCCCTTTCATCAGTTCACTCTGGAATTAGAGATAGATGAAACAGATATGTGTGGTATTTGCAGAAGAAAGAGTGCTTTTCAACACAGAGCATAAAATCTACCTTCTAAATTTCATAAGCAAAGGTCCTGATCATTTATCAAACTAGAGTGGTTTAACTTATCAGGAAAAAAAATACAGTGAAAGAAAACTGTGGGGAAATGGGTCCTGAGCCACCCATTTAGAAACATTCCTGGCCCAAGGTATCGTAAAAAACAAGGCATCAGAGGAAAGTGTGTTGCCCATCACCTAAATCATTAAGGATTTTTTATTACCCTGTTTACATAAATCATTCTGCCCTATGAAGATAAAAAGTCTGAATGGTCTCACTCTCCAGTGGGAAGAGGAAGAAATTCCTAGGATATATATAATTTTTTATGTTTATTTTTATCCTCATCTTCTAAAACTTTCTTTTAAAATATGTTGTATAATATGAACAATACATTAGTTACTAGTACACATACATTTTACAGATAAGTACACAGATACACAGATATTGAAAGAACAGGATCAAAATGCCACAGTTTTGTTTTGTTTGACTAATAGGGATGCATAATCAAAACTGTTTGGAGCTGACATAAAAATCAAATCCTGGTCTGGTCATTCTGTATCTGAAACATAGGTCCAGACCTGTAACAACTTAGCTACTTTCCCCTGGACAACTCATTAGGTCTCTCTGAATCTCTATGTGAAATCCCAATATTAAGTTAGATACTGCCTGAGGTCCCTATTAGCAAAATGCTAGTCACGTGTTGTACACATGCTTGTTAAAACCAGTAACTTGAAACTCATAGTGACTTGCAACTGAACATATATTATAGAGGTGAGCAAGACAATCACCAAAGAGCTGGGAATATAACAGTGGAAAAAATTAAAATTTTTCTATTCTAGCTTTTATAATGAGGCTGCTAAGAATAGCTTCGTTCTACTGTACTAAATGGTTGCATGTTGGATACAACATGGTCTCTGTCTCAGGAGTTTCCTAGTGGTGAGTTTATGAGCATAGCTTATGCACACAGCACAGGGAAAGCTCTCAATGGTCACAAATTGGGAGCAAATGAAGGTTCACCTGTTAAAGATGAAGAACGAGAATGTTAACATAATGTAGAGCCAGCTTTTTTTTTTTTTTTTTTTTTAGAGCCAGCTTTGATAAGTATTCTAGACCTTCCTTAGTTGCATCCTCATATTTCTATTATAGAGAACTTTCTGGTGATTCTATGGTTTATTCAAAGCCATTTTCTTAAATTTTTACAATCCATGTTCTTAATTGAGATTCTTAGATGTATCCTTATGGGTTTAGAAAGTCAGTTCTTACGTTCACTCAACTGATCAAGGTCTACTCTCTAATTACATCGATCAACTAAATTACATGAAGTACTCATTGCTTTTTAAAATTCAAAGATCTTTATGTGAGGTATTTCCCTTACTATATCTTTGATTTCTTGAAAAGAAAAATCAGTGTTTAATTCACTTTGGACCCTCCAAAGCACCAAGCATGATATTTTTCTCAGAGCAGGCACTCAACACATACACCGAATGAGTGAATGAATGTGCAAGAGGAGAGCAGTATCTTTCCAAAATCTAGAAGAGCTTTCTGAAAATGTCATCTGTGAACCATTTGAATCATTCGCTCCTTTGAGACCTTGTGTAAATGTACTTTATTGGGCTCCACTTCAAACCTATTGACTCTCTCAGTAATAAGCTCACCAAGGGATTCTGGTCAATGTGGTAATCTGACAGTAGGGATCTTACTGTAGTGGTGCAGGAGTAGGGTGGGGGCCAATTGAAAGTAGATTGTAATAACAGCTACAATGTATTGAGTATTTATGACATGCCAGGCTTTGTTGTAAGCATGTTTTATATAGATTTATTTATTTAATCTTCGTCTTAACCCCTATTTATGAAGTACTGTTAGTAGGTCCATTTTACAGATAAGAAAACAAAGACACAAAAAAGGATAAGTCATCTGCCCATGGTCAACACAATTAGTAAATGGGAGAGCCTGAATTCAAAACCAAGCAATGTGGTTCTAACCACTTAACCACTAAGTTAAATTGCCTGACAGGAGAAGGTGGGAACAAACAAAGTTCTAAGGAGTTCAAGAGAGAAAAAGATCACTGTGCTGCCATAAAAAGAAGCCTTCTCACTGAGAAAAAAATTAATGATGTGCTTCAGTGGCTGCGAGCTATTAAAAGCCATTGTGAAGATATGCTATGATAGTTTCTTCCTTAACAGCAGGTTGCTGAGCTGCCCATACACCCATTACACCCCAATCACAAATGTCATCCTGGGAGTTTATGGCTCTGGCTGATCTGAGCTGTCACCCAGGGGACTTGGGTTCTAAGTGTAGGGGAAAATTTAGAGTTACAGGGAAGTTTAGACAAAAGGTGAGATATCTAAGTGGAATTAAAGATTCCATATAGTGCATAAATAAAAATGTGATTTTAGAAAAACATAATATATTCTTCCTTGTGGACACATGACAAAGTAGGAGCAAGGAACTTCTTATATGCCTTGATGCTGGCCCACGTTATAAGAAATTTATCAAAATAAAACAAATATGGAAATACAGACTCCAGACTAAGTCATTCTCACCAGCCTGAAGAGAATGCAGTTCCCTGGGGGGTTGGGAAAAGTCACTGACTTGGGTTTAGGGTCCAAGGGTTCAGCCAGAGGAGGTGCTGATAGGCACTTCACACTTCAGTCCTCTCTGAATAGGAAGGATTGAGATCCATTCACTTTCTTTTCTGTCTAGTTGTGATACCCAGTTGTCATCAACAAGCGTGATATAATGTCAAATATGTCCTTCTGAGGCAGCTTCCTTTCAATAAGATATGAGGAACTTTGATCTCTGTAGTCAAGGGAAACAAGTTTAAAAGAGAACTAAAACCCAGAATTACCTGTGTCATTGAGATGGACACACACTTCTAGTCATCAAATGTTCTGAATGCCTCCTGTATGCCAGGCATAATACGGGTCTCTGGTGGGAGAATTTCCTGCAAATCACACAGAAAAGCACCTAAAAGGATAAGAAGTAATAGGAATAAGCCAGAGTCTGGTCACTGGATCTAGTGAACAAAACAGGAAAGCACATAAAGCAGATCATTCTTTAGAGTGATGCCCTTGAACACTAAAGTTCCAAGGTAAGGTTTGAAAAGAGAGGAGAGAGAGAGAGAGAGAGAGAGAGAGAGAGAGAGAGAAGAGTTGTGTTCTCTTTCCCTCAACAAGGTAGGATGTTTTTTTTAAAAGCAAATACTAAACATAAACTTCACAAAGGGGAAAAGTCTTTGAAAAAAATATGCACCAAAAAGTAACTTTCAGCATGAATATTTCAATACAACTCAGCATGCATTCAAAACGAAATGTGAATTATTCACTATCAAGAAAGTTCAAAGCCTCCAACTGAATTTGTTTGACCTCCTTGGCAGCAAAATAAATATGATGGGTGGTCTGGTTCAGGCACCTGTCCAAGTCCAATCCCATTACATTTTCATAGTATCAACATTTAAAAGCCCCATTCCCACTGCATCAACAACAGCACATGGGAACATCTGAACACATGGCAACCAACACGTTATACAAACACGTTTTCTCTACAAGTCAGACTATCATTTTCCAGAAAGTACAGACTCAGCAAATGAAGAAGGGCTTTACATGTTACAACTCAGAGCTCTGGCACTTGAAAGACATCACTTGGACTTGAGGAGTTAAGATTCATCTCATTTTATCCAGTATGCTTGGCAGAAGCATGGCTATAATTTTCTAGCTCAAATGGCAGAGAAGAGGCTAAAACACAGGTTTTCTGACCTTTAGATCAGTCTATTTTCTATTACACAGGATGCGTCTCGGTTCAGTTTTCCATAGCACTGAAGCCTGGTATAGAGTTACTATCCACCAACATTCCCCCCACACACACACCTTTAATGTATAAGGTGTAGCCTATAGGCCAGGTAACTTAGATTTGAGTGTACAATTGCTATTAATTCTGTGTACCCCAAGTCCCCTAAGTTTTCTTAAATCCACTTTTTTTCTAGCCTGTAAGTATATTGACTAAATTGAAGGGTTTTGAAAGGACTGTGTGAAGATTCCCCAAAATTACAAGCACCAAGCAAATATGTCAGTATTAATCATCATCATCATCCTCCTGAGGTTAAAGATTATATACGCACTTGTTCAACTGAATAACCCAACTTTTTTAAATGCCTGCTATGCATCAGGCACTGTTCTTAACACTTGTGTAAACTGATTTAATCTTTACCATAAACCTACAAAAGAGTTGCTATTATTATTCTCATTCTACATACAACTGTCTGAGGCTCAGAAAGGTCAACAGAGGAACTGAGATTCTAGGACTAGAAGCTCCACTCCATGGTGACTATTGCATAAGGCATATGATGTAATTAATGGCACTGGACCAGGAGTCAGCAAACCTCTATGTTTCAGGGACCTCCTAGCCAGAGCCTAGAACCAAACACATTGTTCATGAAGCACTTGCCAAAGTCACTGATGAGAAGCATGTTCTTTTACATGTCACTGAACCCCACCTTGCCCACTGGCCTCAAGATGTGTGTGAGGCTCAGTGAGAAAACACATCTTGTATGGGAGTAATGGACTATTAGTGGTATCTGTTAAGAAACAAATGCCTTTGAATAAAGAGCTAGGCTGGTTTGTTCCACTCTTGCTTTACCTGTTCTGTGGTCTAGTCTAGTAGCTGGTGATTCAGTTTTGATATCAGGGTAGACCTTGCTGATTCTGTTCCCATGAATATCAGAGCCAGGGGATGCTGTAAGCCATGCAAGGCTATGAGGCTGCTGCAGGTCCATCTGCCATGTCATGCAAGGACCAAGAAATGTCTCCACTGCCAAATCACTTCCTGTGCATATCCTGAGGTCTCCACATTTTTGGCCAATCACCCCAGTAGGTCTTCCCCTCAACAATTGTTTTGTCTGACAACTTTTAAGGCATGAAATAATGCAAGATTGTGACATCATCATGATCATAGTAGCGGGTTGAACATTGTCCTCCCAGTATGTTACTTTATTTGGAAATTGGATCTGTGCAAGTGTAGTAATTTATTAAAAATTTTTAGATAAAATCATCCTGGTTTTAGGGTGGGCATGAAACCCAATGATAGGAACCCTTATCAAAGAAAGGACAGGGAGATTTGGGCACAGAGATACCCAGACACAGAGGAAACAGAGATACAGGAAAAAATGCCATGGTTAGATGGAAGCAGAGATTGGAGTGATGCAGAATAAACCAAGAAACACCAAGGATTGCCAGGAGTCACTGGGAGCTAGGGCCTTGGGGACGGATGATGGCTCCCACTTTGATTTCAGACTTCTGACCTTCAAATCTGCGAGAAAATAAACTTTGTCTTTTTAAGTAACCCAGTTTGTGGTAATTTGTTGTGGTGGCCCTCAGGAATTAATGCACCACTCCTACTGCTTATTCTATAAAGAATTACAAAAGGTATTTCAATGACTTTAGAGTTCACTAAAGAATCAGAGATTCTAAATTCAGGACTAAGTTTAAAATTCTGTAAATCATACTCTGTCTGGGGAAAAAAATTATGTTAATCATACTTTGCATACAGAAAACACAAGCCATTACTGGCAACATTTATTTTCACATTTGATGGTCCAATAATGAGAACAAAAATCTATTTACAGTCCAGAGACTGTTTCCCCTTGTATAGCATACTTCTACATAATTATAAAAGAGCATGCTCTTAAAAAAATGTTCTATGAAAATAAACTTAAAGGAAATATTTTAGAAACAAAATTAATTCCAAGAATACAATAAAATACTGTTATATTTCTGCCATCAAATAACAATTTCAAGACATATTTTCATTACTTTTGGTTACTACTGATCTATCTAGCCCAGTTTAAAATCTATTACACAGTAAAGTTCATTTAAAATATTCACTAATCCACATTTTTCCACAACCTAAATAACTAAGAACCATCAAAGATGATTTTTTAAATATATTTTAACTGGGTCCATTTATGCATTTTGGACTATTTTGTCCTGGATTATTACCCAAATGAAACATAGACGAGACCCCAAATTTTCACTTATTAGGAAAAAAAAGCCTGTAAAAATTTTATGCTTTGCAATCAAAGGTAGTACTCCCAGCATGGTGCCTGCTACCCATGAGCAGCTGTGAATGAAAAAAATCAAGGTGTGATTAAACAGTCTTTTTCATATTATCCTCCCTTAAAGGTTTTTTAATTGGAACACAGCCATCATTAACAGAGCCTGTTCTCCAGAAGCCTTTGCTCCCCGTGACGAAAGGAGCCACCCAACTTCTGGCTTCTCCTTGCCAAGTTGATGCCTGCTACTGACGTCTCTCAACAGTGTACCCGCTCTGTCCCATGTCAGTTTTAATAAAGGAAATATCATGAAAATAACTCTGTTTATAAGCTTTTGACATCCTGTGGCTTCATACGAAATTTAATTTTCACAGCACAAACAGGAAGCACTGGGTTAGATCTTCTCTCCTGTGTACACACACCTCTTTCTCCCATCCCCATTCTGGTCCTCCTTCCCTGTCTCCCCCATGTCCCTCTGTGGTAGGACTGCGTGCTGGTGGCCTGCCCTGAAAACTTCAGAAGCATTTTGTGCTTCCTTCTGTGTGTTCCCTGCATCTATTTTGTTGTCAAAACACCCCTTAACTGAAGCTGTGTCCATTTGTGTCATGACTCCAGCTCTCAGATCTCCCATTTCCTGTCACCTGAGTCTTCTCCATGACAACCCTGGGCAGACTTCTCCCTGCTGGGATCCCTCCCCCAATCTCCTTCTAAGTAAATATGCCTAAAACATTACTTTCTTCATAGCATTCCCCTACTTAATATTTTGTTCTGGTTCCCAATTGTCCACTAGATAGAAGCACTAACCCCATAATGGGTTTTTCAACCCCCTATGATGTTGCTCAATTAATGTGTCCATCTTTCTTTTTTCTTTTTTTTTTAAGATTTTATTTATTTATTCATGAGAGACACAGAAAGAGAGAGAGAGGCAGAGACATAGGCAGAGGGAGAAGCAGGCTCCCTGTGGGAGGCCTGATTCAGGACTCCATCCCAGGATCCAAGATCACGCCCTCAGCCAAAGGTAGACACTCAACTACTGAGTCACCTAGGTGCCCCTTCCTTTTTCTTGTAAATCCCAACATAGCTATTATTCAAGACAGGTCAATGTGTACATTGCTTCCTTGCTAGCTGCACCTCCTCCTTCTCCTGCATCATGGTTACTCTTTCAGCCTCTCCCAGCTTCCCCTTTGACTTTGGGCACAGAATGTCCTTCCTCTTACACACCATCAGAACTACCAACTCTTAAAGACCTTGCTCAGTCCTACTTCCTCAGAGAGTCTTCTACACTACTCTACATAATAATTTTCCACCTCTGAAATAATTAACCCTTGTTCTTTTTTTTAGATGTCTCTCCCTATCCTTCCATCTCTCATATTCCCTCATGCTCAAAGAAATTGGCTCAGACACATGGTTGGAGACCTGTTGGCTTTATCTTCTCATTAGTTTTCCAGTTTATTTGCCCTTTCTTGGCTTAATTCCTTCCTTGTTCGGCCTATATAGTATCACATTCTCATCAATCTGATCAACAGTCCCACCTCACCTTGACCTTCAGCCTTTTATCTCCAGTGCTGATCAATAAATTGCTTAGTCCTTCTTTTTTTTTTTTTTTCAGTAGCTACTGGTACAAATTTGATGACAATGTAGATTAGCTCCTTTAAATTTTCTATTTGCATTTATGACTATTTAGCAAATCTTCCCTACTCTCACTCAGCTTCCTTTTCTTTTAAGCCTTTTGTAGAGTTTAAGTGCCTAACCTGTTCCCTTTTCCTTTCATTCTCTGCAAATCGCCATCAGAAGATATAATCTTGTTCAGTATCATTATTGTCACATTCAGATTTGCCTATATTTCTCCCTAGTCTTAGAGGAAGAGTGCCCTTAACGCTCCATGGCTGCCAATCCCTTCCCCTTCCTTCTTCTTTGGGTT